TGTGACAGGGGTTTGAAACAGAACTCGCGTCCCCATTGATAGATGATAGACCATAGAGATGACTCTTTGGACCCCTATGAAGAACACTTTAAATAATATTTGATTGGTATATCAAAGTTATTTCAATAAATCATATATAACTGTTTAGACCAATGTCCATCCGAACGCTCAAAAAAGAAAGATGGAGTCGTTTTCGGGTTTCAAACGCATCGCAGTTGTCGTGTGCCCGAAGCCCGAGGAACTGGAGAAACGGACAAAGGAAAAGAAAGAAAAGAAGGGATTTGAAGTTCCAGAATTTGCTCTCAACGACATGAAAGGTAAGGGCGTCCCATTTCTATGAATGTCCACATATGCCAGCAGCTTAGATAAGATCCTATCCCTACAACCAGCACTCGCGGTGTAGTGGTTATCACGCTTGCCTTTAAAGCTGGAAGATCCAGGTCCAATCCTTGGTCGGACCTCTACTCAAGGTCTTAAAATAACTGAGGAGGAAGAGATACCTTTATATTGACGTCAGTAAATGGTTAGACTTTCGCGTCTTCTCGGATAAGGGCGGCAAATCTTAGATACGTATGAGTGAGAATCTCAAGGCTCCGACAAAGTACATGTACATATTTTTACGTGCACTATACAATACAACGCAATGCAAGCCGTGACAAGTAGTTTTCCAAACATGCTTAATTTAGGAACTCTTACTTCGGACTCACGAAGACGTTGCATTCAGAAATATTTGCAGTCGTTTTTGTAAATCGATAACCTGAAAACGGGTCAGTAAAACTGCCCGAAACGTTGCAAAATCAAGAAATATTAAACCTAAGAATATCAATTAAGTAAACTTTATATTACTGTACGTCTTTTTGACTCACGGATGTTACGAAGCAACATCTGTGAGTCTTTGTGGTTACTTGAGTGTGGGGCAGTTAAACAATAGGAAATGACCAGCCTGCTTTGCGTGCACTGTTTGCCTGCGAATCAGGCCTTTCAGAACCGGAAATCGGGCTGGAGCACGCGTGCGAATGGCAAAATTCGCAAGGTGCCTGTTTGCAAAACTACAAACTGCTCTAATTCTTTCTGTCACTTTCATTTGATCTCATCCGTGAGTCGGCCCCGAGGGCCTTTGATTCTCATTGTCTACTCTATCTTTTCAGCCAACTTTACTTTACCACGTGTGGGACCACTGTTTACCGAAGTGAAGTTCATTGAAGAAAAAGAAGAAGAATCGGGAAAGATTGTCGCCGACTACAAACGCAATGCACGTTCTTCACACAACCGAGGAGGGAATCGTCGCCGAGACGACCACAAGGGGGGCAGTGGACGCTTCCATCCTTACAAACGTGACGACCATCGTTCAAACCGCGGGGGTGGTGGCAATCGTGACCGACGCTCTGGTGGCCGAGGAGGTGGGGGGTCGAATTATGGTCGACAGCATGGTGGATCACATGACCGACGTAGCGGTGGGGGTAATAATAAGGGATACCAGAATTATAACAGAGGTGCTGGTAATCGTACCGGGGGTGCGAACCGTACTGGTAGTAACTTCCAGAAGAGTTTTAACCAATACCAGCAGCAGCAACAACAGCAGCAGCAACAACAACAGCAACAACGATACGCTGCTTATGCTGCCACACCTCAGTACAGGTAATGTCTTCAGGGCTAGCTAAGGGCGGTTATGGTAATGTCTTCGGGGCTAGCTGGAGGTGGTTATATTTTATGAAGTATAGGTTCCGGTTGAAATATTTGAGAATACATGTATGACCTCGCCTAGATGTGTTTCGGATCACTTGTATTTTCATATTTTTCTCCCTTGGTTTTCTCATATAACCCCAAACATATCAACAGACTTATTAGCCCTTGTATAATAGGAATTTTAACGTAATATGTTTCTCATTGCCCGTATCAAAACATAAAAACCGCCATAGCGATGCACATAATATTAAACATATAGTCAATAGAACAATAAGTAGGTTAGGGAACTCGATGAATACATAATAGACCTCGTTGTCTATGATTTTGTCCTGATTTATGCAAAAAAATGATCTGTTCATTGTCACGTGTGTATTGTTTTCTTGCCCAACCAACCAATAACAGTGTGTTGGTTTAATTACCCAGTCGTGATATTACACAATGGTTAACTGTGGAAAACACTTAGCTATTGGTTGCTCTGGCGAAAAATACAATACACACGTGACGATGAATCGACCATTTCTTGCATAAATGAAGACAAAGACATAGATAATGAGGTCTTATATCTGCATCGAGTTCCCTAACCTTTTCATTCTATTGTCCATGCAAAGTCCATGCATTAAATAGCATCGCCAAATGGGTTCCTAACGATCTTTCGCTTATCTTTTTTGCAGTTTCCCACAGCAACCAGCCTATCCAACCTACCAGAATCCTTACCAACAACCGAGAGCAGTGTACCCTGCCGCAGCATACCAACAACAACAACAACAGGCATACTACTATCAGCAACAAGCGCAACAGAACTATTACCAACAAGCGGGTTACGGGCAACAGCCCGGCTACCAGTATCCTCGACGGTACTAGGAGGATCAACGGGATACGTGTTGATAAAAAGGCTCGAGTATAAACTTAAAAGCCATTTTAATTGTATAGAAGCACTTGAAGGCTATACAAACAAGAATAAACTTGAGTATTGTATAAAATGCCACAGTCGGCATAAAGGGTGACAGTTGTAGTTTGATTTTAGACTAGGAGCACTGTTTTTTTTTCATGTGTAAAATACTAACAAAACGTGATTGCAAGTTGTATATGGTTAGACCTTTAATACTTTTTCATTCCAGCCATGTTAACCTAACTTTGTAATGAAATCCGTGTTTTAATTAATCAATGGTTAACTTTCCCATTTGCGAGCAAGCTCGTTTGGAGCGAAATAACAAACTAGTGTGGATTAGGGTACATTTCGACATAGTGGGTTAATGGCTTTGGTGTGTATTGGGGTACATTGTGGTTAAACCAAATAGACAAAAAGTACTGTACAAAAGTTAATATTAGTTCTTTTTTATTTTGTCTGAAAGAGTTACGGTTTTCTTTCTGCAAACACAACTACAAACATGAAAGTTATAGCAGCAAGCATTAGCAAGTGAAATAATAATACAATACAATTGATATTCTGGTAAATCTAAAGCTTCACTTGCGTATTTTGCCCACAGATCGGTGGAGAGCGCAACCGACAAATAACATGCGCATCATACCATTATAAACAAAGCTTGTAAAAGTCGCCTTTTGAATGAGAATTTTGCTGAATCTGTTGGATTTGTGACGGTTTCTTGGGTCAGATATATTGGTGACTCTGGAAAGCTAAAATAGTATGCAAATGGCGCACCGGCGGCAAAGCCAATCGAGCTGACGTCAACTCGCGTAATATTTAGCATACCTGCCAATATAAAGCAACAAGTACTAGTTTTGTCAAATAAGAGCAAATCGACATTTTTTTCTCTTAGTTCGATGATTAGAGAGTTCCATTGATTATTAATACATCTTGGCATAACTGTGTGGCTTGCATCTTCCCTTGTTGAGCTTGTGACATCTGCTTTCGTGGTTTCTATCCTCAATTTCTTCGCTTGTGAGAGATGTATTATTCAACATTTTGAGGTCCACGTCTTTGAATTTGTCTGGCTGTAATAGTGGTTTGCCATTCCGAGTATATGTGTCCACATATTGCAGTGTTTGGGTACAGGGTAAAAGGGTCAAGCTGAACTGCAAGCATTTTAAATGTGAATTGGTCCATTCCTGCAAAAGTTTTCTCGTTCGCTTATGCGTGTCATTGTGTGAAAATTTGGGTAAGAATGCAACAAATTATTCGCACTATTAAACTTTAACTGATTCGATCTGCGTAAGTTTACCATCATATGACGTCATGTGATGTTAGTCAGTTCAGAAGATTTTTAAAAATTGTCGCATTCCGTGCAAGCTTGTTCTATGTAACACGAAAAATATAGCTTCCCACGCCGAACTTGATGGCTCTAGAACTTTTAAGAGGTTAAGTAGACTTGTGGCGGTCATATATTGGAGTGGCCTTTATTTAGTCACTGACAAATTTAGGAAGAGGTCAATACTGCACATTCCTTTTCCATCCATTCACGGAATGATCGACAAATCCTACTGTTTTGAAAATCCTACTGTTTTGAAAATCCTACTGTTCTCCACGCTCGAAACGTCGAAGTTCTTGTATTTTTCAGATAGTTGCATGCATCTATCAATCCTAAGCTTTCTTATTATTAGTACTCCTGTACCATATCGGAAATCGCGAAACCTTTGGTTTATGTTTGCCAGAGCAACACAGCAATTGCATCCGAAATGAGTGACTAGATGGCATGCAGAACAGCGGGATTGTCAAAATGAGAAGACATCGGTAATTCTTGTAACTGAATCGTGACTGAATGGCAACGTGTCTGCCAACAAGCCGTCAACAAGTTGTGTTCGCACTGCTTGTCCCAAGTTGTCAACAAGTTTGGAACAAGCTGTTAACCGACTTGTAACAACCTTGTTGATATTATCAGACTTGTTTGCAAGGTTGTTCCAACAAGTCCAATACAGACATGACATAGCAATATTGTTACAACATTGTGTCGTCAAACTTGTAACATTCTTGTACATGTTATATCATGACTGTATCAGACTTGTTAGAACGACCTTGTAACAAGTCTGATAATACCATCAAGCTTGTTAACAACTTGTTCCAAACTTGTTACAACTACTGGGAACAAGCAGTGCGAACACAGCTTGTGAACAGATTTGTAACAACTTGTTTGCAGACTTGTAACAACTTGTGCGTTTTTATGTGTGTAGATTCCTGTCATTCGGCCATTGGAATCGGAATGTTCCATTATATTGTCTTTTCGTTTTTTTATGCATTTAGGCAAAGCTGGCAGAAACTGAAAACATTTTGTTTATAACGCCAGCAACGGTACGGAGTGTAGGTGAGTGGATGGCTTGAAGAACTGTGAAATTTCCAAAACAATGAAATGCTGATGATTCATGAACGTTCCGACAATTATTGATGCCACTATCCAGACATCCAGATCTCATTTTTGAGATCAGTGATTCGTACCCAGACTTAGCAACAACTCGGTCAATCGTGTGTAAAACAGGATTTTAAAAGACAGAAGAAATAATATCACGCACAAATCGAATGCGAAGGACCACAATTATGACAAATTCTGGCGAGCACTATGTGCATTTGAAAGCTCTGTAAAAAGATTAAGATAGCACTTCTGTAATACCAAACTCTCAAGTAGTAAAATTGCTTTTATGCGATGTTAAAGCGAGTGTTTTCGGGCAAAAGACGGCGCCGTAGACCGCCCATTTCAAAGCCGTCAAATTTTCAACATAGAGTACATGCTGGTTACGACAGTAAGACGGGAAAATTCGTTGGTTTACCACCACAATGGGAGCAATTAATAAAGAACGAAGGACGACCAAAGCCCATAGTAGACCCAGAGGCGATTACAGACACAGTACCGAACCGTATAACTCAGATCTTCGACGACGATTTCAACATCCAAAACGAGCAAAACAAACAAGCCATAAACGTATCCCGATCGAATTCTTTGCGAGGCTCTTTTAGGAATCGCGAAGACGAGCAGCCCAACAGCCCAACTTCACCGAAAGCTAACGGTAGCAGCACAGGAACACAAAATATGGATGAGAAATCTGCAAGTGAAGCCCCGAAAAGTATTTTGAAAAAACGTGGTGGAAAAGGATCTAATTCGAAGAATTCTACCACAAATCAAAGCCAAGGGGATGCTAAACCTGCACCGGCACCGCGATCGCCCTCACAGTTTCAAGAGCAAAACGGTAGTGGCGAAAAGTCGACAGATCTCGCTCGTGCTATGAAGGAAACGAACGATCCAAACTTGTCAAAATCGAAGCTGATGTATTCAGACGAGCCGGTCACGCATGAGCAATTCCGACAAGCTTTACAAAAAGTTGTGAAGCCTGGAAATCCGAGAGAACTCTTTGATCGATTCGTTAAAATAGGCGAGGGATCTACAGGCATTGTATGTATTGCAACGGAGAAGCGAAGTGGCCGACAAGTTGCCGTCAAAAAGATGGACTTACGTCGACAACAGCGCCGAGAATTGCTATTTAACGAGGTGAGAAGCCCATATTGTACTCAACCCATTCAAAACAATAAAAAAATCTTATTCTACTTCTCTTAAAAGCAGTATAAATGTTACTTCTTTGAAAAGTTGCATTTAATGATTCTAATTGCGTTATTGGGCGGCGAATCCTTTGAAATTGACAACTTTTGCATTGGCGGGCTTCCATCAAAAGTTTGTCAATTTCACGTTGTCGATTTCATGTTGTTTTGTTTTGTACAAATGCGGGGCGGACACGAGCCAAATTCCCACCTTCTCGTGTAGACTGGAGAATAATATCACAGGTCAAAAAACGCCCGAAATATAGTCGACTGGACCAATATTTTAAATACTTGAATTTCTTTGTTCGCCCCAATGACGTGCATATTATAATAGTTGCAATTACTTCGATTAGAATTTCAAAATATAGGTTTTGTTACTTTTGTGTGTGAAACTTGCAAAATCCCTTGTGTTTTGTCGATAAATATTTGTCTAGGCTTCTGTTTAACTTGCCAGTCTTTTGAGCACAATGTCTGTGTGTGGGACACGCATGCAAATTTAATACAGGAAGAGTGTTTAATATTTATTGATTTCGTCCCTAAACTACCGCGGGAGGTTATTATGTGAATTCTTTCAGGCATGCATTTCCTTCCGCTTGGGCTGCCGTTACAATGTACAATTTATTTGAATATTTTGTACTTCTTGTAAACAAAAAACGACTCGGTGAAATTAGTTTTTCAATGCATTTTTATCGGATTAAAGTTGGTTGAAATATTTATGAGTGTTGACTGACATTTGTTGCTAAAAAAATACTAGTTATTTATTAATCACTTGTTGCTATGCAAGGCTATCAAGATTTTAAAAAGTTATTCAAAATTTCCTTGAGAATATGTCATGACATTTTGATTCTCAAACTATTAAGGGGCGGACCACTAGAAAAGTGATGGGAGGGGGGACTTTTGCAACTTGTACGAATATTTTTTAAAAATTTTTTGCTTGTGTCGATAATTTTTTTTAAATATCCCTTGCACAATTTTTTTTTTAATTTCAACTTATAATTTTCCCTATTGAAATGTCTCTGCACGAATTTTTTTTTTCAAACTTTTTTGGTGCACAATTTTTTTTTCTTTCTGTTTCCCCTGCTCGATTTTTATTTTTGCTTCCCCCCCATCACTTTTCTAATGGTCTGCCCCTAATCCATTATTCTGGAATTAGCCACAAGCTTGATATTTGTACTACAAACAAATGTACATCACAAATAATCTAAAGTTGTCCATTCTACCTGATAAAAAAGGGAACAACGACAAATATTTGCTTGTGTAACCTGCTTAACTCTCTGTTTTCATTTGGCCCCCAGCTGTGTGTTTATAATTATTCTTCTTGCCTCAGCCAACGGAAATTAACACTTAACCTCACACTTTTCACCTCAACCCTTTTCACCTGTGACTATCAAATGTGACACTTCCCTTGCTGAGTAGCGTAGTCTGATTAGACCAGGTACATAACATAGCAGCAGACTTCAGGGAATGTTGTCACTTAGCGATGAGACCAAGTCTGTTCTGTGCATACACAAATCTTCCAATACCCAAATTTCATGTTGTTTCAACATCTTCTAAATTGAAACTCTAATCTATATTTAATTACAAGAATAGCAAACCAGAATGACGTTAGATAGTAACTAAGTGGATTCTATTTCATGAATATAGGTAGCCCGCGTGCAGGCCCAAGGGAAAAGAATATAGGTTATGTTTACACTTGTACCAGATAGCTTTCCGTAGCGACGTGAAAAACACCTATCCATACCTTTTAGGAATGCTATTTTCAGAGGAATTATTGCAACAGAGAGATGATGTTTCGCTCAGCTTCTGAAAGTTGTACATTCCATATTGGATACTTAGGTGCTTTTTCATGCCACGATAGAAAGCTATCCCATATAGTGTAAAGGTAGCCTTAGTGTCTTCAAAATGTAAACAAACCACACATGACTGCCTCTTAAAGCATTACTACTTTGTGTCATACTTAGCAGAGACACTTTCCTTTGTCTTCCCCATAGCTTTTTTAAAGCATGGCAATAATATTACTGCTTTGTTCGATTCAAGGTTGTGATCATGCGAGACTACCATCACCCTAATATTGTCGAGATGTATGGTAGCTATCTTATTGACAATGAATTATGGGTTGTTATGGAGTTTTTAGAAGGTGGATCATTGACAGACATTGTTACACATACCAGGTTGGAAATTGTTTGTGTTTCATTCTATTCATGCCCAGCTACAGTAAATTAGTGTCGCACTACTCCTTGAAATTTAAAATAGAACATAGAGGTATGTTTACAATGAAAATAAATGTGGGTGCCAGAACCATAGGGGATACAAACCTTGAGTGACAGCACTTTCCCCTTGATGAGTAAAATTGTCTGGCATTAGACAGAGTAAAATAATAACGTAGGACGTATTAGGGTGCAATGCAACTTAATGGGTTGATACAAATTTGTTGTAGGGTGAGGTTTTAGTTTAGGCTCAGAGCTAGCTAAAGAATTAGGTTCAGTGTTAGGTGCTGCATTATGAATGGTTTAAATGGTATTGAAAATAATAAACTTACAAGTAATACACAGTAATAAATTAATGTGTCGTAGTTCTTTTAGTTTGACAGAGGAACAAATTGCACACATCAGTAAGTCTTGTTTGAAAGCTTTGGCGTTCCTGCACTCACAAGGTGTTCTTCACCGAGATATCAAAAGTGACAGTATTTTATTAACAACTTCTGGGCAGGTATGGAGACTTTCCGATATGCATCAAACCTAAACCAATTTAAACCAAGGTTTCTGTGTTTGGATGGCCTGATCCAAACACGCGGGAATGTTGCGAGAGTTAAGAAAAGTCCGCGAAACATGAGCCAAGAGGGCCCCCTATAATTTTTGCGTGAAGCGCTTATTTTACTTCGCCGTGAAACGTGATCAGGCCCCCTATACGTTTTGCGTGAAGCGTGAAGGGCTTATTTTACTTAGCCGTGAAACGTGATCGATGATTTTCTTAATCTGTGACTCGTGAAAAGGCAAAATATTTTTACGTGAAAGCATATTGTGAAGAGGTATAGGGGGCCCTCAGCCAAAGGCGAGTGATTTTGCATGCTTTCCTTAACTCAAGCAACATTCCCAAGTGTTTGGATCAGGCCATCCAAACATGGAAACCATAAAGTAATTGTTCTATAAAATAACAACTTTCCGTGTTAAAATTTCACTTTAAAAAATTTTCACTTTAAATTTCCGTGTTTGGATCTTACAGGATGGCCTGATCCAAACATGGGTTTCGACCAGTCAGAGCATGTGTTATATACATGTTATTTTATAAAATGGATTGCTCCACATTTAGTGGACAGTTCTTAATTGACACCTATTGTAGAGATATACTGTACTTGCAGCATGAAACTTGAGAGCAAGAAAAAACTTGCAGTCTTTTGTAGAATCAAACAACTGTTAATCGTACAACTACATAATGCACCATTATTTCGCCTTGACTACAGAGGTGAAAATCATGTGAACTAACCACTGTGAAACCACCAGTTGACTCCCCATTACACACCAACCTGTTATGTACTAGTATTAATGGACAATGTCATCTAAATTTAGGTGAAAATATCAGATTTTGGTTTTTGTGCCCAAGTGACACAAGATGTCCCTAAAAGAAGATCCTTGGTCGGAACTCCATACTGGATGGCACCGGAGATTATTGCAAGACAACCATATGGACCTGAAGTTAGTATTTATGATTTCTTTAAAGACTGCAAACACATGCATAATGATTTCCTTACACACAGGAAAAAGCTTGATTAGATGCAGATTTGCACAGGGTGTCCACAGGCCTTGAAAATGCTGGAAAGCCCTTGAATTTGAAAAAAAAATTCCAGCGCTGAAAAGCCCTTGAAAATCAGTAGAAGTCTTTGAAAGTCTTGGAATTAATTTCCTTACCTCCAGCTGTGCCAACATTAGTGATTTTGATTAAAATTACTGAATAAAGTGAATCTGTGCTATTTTCTAAGATTTTTCCCAGTTCTAGCTCCTTGAATTTACTGAAAAAAGGTCTTGAAAGTCCTGGAAAAGTCCTTGAATTTCACCTTCACCAAAGGGTGGACACCCTGCTGGCCTGCTTGCAACCAATTTGCTACTATAGTCCTGCAATTTAAAGTCAGATGCTACTGAAATGCAAATACTACAGAATGCAATCAATGACATGTTGTTGATGTGTTTTCTGTTATTTCTAAGAAGTGCTTTACCAAAGATATTAAAAACTAAAGACAAGGCATAATTCAGTGCTTATTTTATGTATATATATTTTTAGTCTGATATTTGGTCGATTGGTATAATGGTGATTGAGATGATTGATGGTGAACCACCATACTTTAATGAACCACCACTGCAAGCTATGAGAAAGATAAGAGATCTTGACCCACCAGCAGTCAAGAACGCAGCTAAGGTATGGTACACTTAAACTGGCTATGTCAGTGCAAATGATTATCCAGGCTTGCAAATCAACAGTGTTTTGCGCAAACGCAAAACAATTACAGTCGAACATCTTCATTCAATGGACATCACTCTCAAATAGACATCTCAATAACACAGATGCCTTTTCTAATATGGGCATTTCTCCAAGACAGACATCTCTTTAAAATAGACATCTCTATGACAGACACCTCTGCTTTCTAATACAGAAGTCTCTCTAACACGGATATCTCTCTCAGACTGTCAAACAGACACCTCTCTAAGACGGACATCTCACTAATGCAGATATGTATCTAAGACAGTCATTTCTGTAAGACAGATACGATATCTCTCTAAGACAGACATCTCTCTAAAATACACACTCTCTCTAAGACAGGCATCTCTCTAAGACAGACATCTCTATAAGACAGACATATCTAAGACAGAAGACACCTCTCCAAGACAGACACCTGAGGTATCTCACACTTTGGCCTGTCCGTTGCGTGTCTGCATTACCACTGTATATTGAGAGTCGTGAAAACCTACAATTACAACTGACATAACTTCTACTCTTATTCTTTTTTAGCTCACACCTCGACTGAAATCATTTATAGAGAAAGCGTTAACCCACAACCCTCAAGAAAGAGGCACAGCACTTGACCTTTTGCAGCACCCATTCTTACGCCCTTATAACAATCCGAACTGTCTCGCTGAACTTATGAAGTCTTTCAGACACAGTGTTTGCTGACGTGCTAACATAGCTTAGAAAAATAGGTGGGAATTATAGTAAGCGTTTTATATAGTGCGGCACATCGTGGCCAACCTCAGAACTCTCGACACTAAATGGACGGTTTAACCGACCATTTTTTTGCGTAAATCAAGACAAAACATAGATAATGAGGTCTCTAGATATTGCGATATAATTAAGATTTAACACTATTTCGCTGTCTGCCGGGTTGGCCACCTTTTGCGGCACATTGGTGACTGATGAAGCCCGTTGTAAAATTAGTAGGTTTTACAGCAAGTGCGAAATAGGCTGCAAGAAATGGATTTTTAATCTCCATAGGAAGGGCATGTGTATATCATTAGATTAGTATTATATAGTTTTGTCTTTAGAATTTTCTATGTTGTAAAATTAAGTCTTTTCGAATGTGGGCTATAAACAGATTTTTTATTTTTTAAAAAGCAGTAAATGTAATATACAAATTAACCCACACTAGCTAGTTGAATAATGGAGTGATGTATTAATATATGGAATAGTTATTATGCCAAATATACGATAATAGTTTTTAGTGATGTGTTCATTTTTTGACCATCCAAAGTTTCCTCCAATTTTATTCACAATGTGCTCTATCATTCTTAGTTGCGTAACAGCCTAACAGGCATATATCATTCGTAACTAGGGTTCCCATGGTGTTAGAAAATCGCGGAAAGTACTTGAATTTGTAAAATAAAATTCCGGAAATTTCAAGTCCGGACAGTCTTTGAAAGTTAATGAAGGTCCTTGAAATCTTGGAATTTCTGTCCAGCTCGGTTGAGAATCCTAGAAACATTGAAATATCAGATGATCAATATAATGTGGTGCAAGAAATAAAATTCCTCGACATTGATAAAGTTATAGAAGTCTAGAAGTCTAGGGAGAATAATTTGTTTAGAATAGTTTGTTCTTATTGATCCAGTGCTACTGCGGCCTGCAAAAGGAAACCGAAGTGCTGGAAGAAACTTGATGTAGTGTTTTAGTAGAGTCAAATTGTCAGCTATAAATAAAATCAGATTATAAAAATTTTATTATCCTTTTTTCCGTGCAGCTGATGTTAATTAGCGTTCTTGTTACATAAACGCTAATTTACTATATATTAACCAATCAGCGATGGGTTTATCTTATTAGTATTCAAAAGAACACTGACGTTCAAATCGGCATAGTAATGATCTTGTATACAATATGGCGCCGAATATGACAAAATATTTCGGAAAAAACACAAATTTTCTGGACGGTTTTTCAACGAATTACGATTAATGTCTTAGACAGAATCTGCAACTTGTTAAAAGGTACAGTTTCTTAGCTTAAAAATGTCACATAAATTGGGTAAAATTAAGCAGTTAATATTGTATTTTCTAGCAACAAGTTAACAACTGAACAACGCAGTCATAGTATATTTTACTATAAAATTGACAGTCCGTTAATTTGTTGGAATAGCTCGATTCCAAGGCCTATATAATGCAAGTGGTTTGCATTACGTTTTGACAAAATGTACAGTTTTGAGTTATTTCAGTATTTTAAGGGGTACATATTGCTACAAAGAATTGAATACTGTATGCTTGAGTTTGGGACACTAATTGTTTGTTGACAGTGAGATTTGAAGATAAATTTGGGGTGTTAATGGATTGTTAATAATATATCGGTTATGCCTTGGAATCTGTGTGTCCCGGGTTGTTATGTACATGGTATCACAACATTGTATTCAATATTGTTGTACATAACTGTAGAGTATGTAATGTCTGATCATCACCTCTGGATCAAGGATGCAGGTGGAATGCAGAGGTGTAGCCACAGGGGGGGGGGATGGGGGACAGACCTACCCCCCACTTTTCTTCAGGACCAATTTTGTAATTCTTTCAAATCTGAAGAGAATCTGGGGGGTGGGGTGTAACCTACTAAGGCGTAAAAAAACCCTGTGGTTCCGGTTCCCAACCGACCCTATTTTTTTCCGCCAACCCTATTATTTTTTCAACGCAATTGACCGTGCGACCCTATTTTCTCCAGGAGGTTGCGGGCTGCTCATACAGCGTGCCAAAATGGCGTCTGTTATCACACTAATTATTGAACCAAATTCACAGATCAATGACCAAATTGCCTAAATTCGTCCATAGGAAATATGCATCTCTAGTTAATATTGATGTCGGGACTACTGCAAATCGCCCAACGAAAACCCGCCAAAACCATGAAAAAACTATTGAAAAAAAAATTATTTCCGACCTACCAACCCTAATTTTTTCACGATATGAAACCGCGGAACCCCGTGCTGTAGCCAGAACAATAATTGGGGGGGGGGGCACATATTCATATATTCGTGTTCTGCTTTATTAATTTCTTTTGAAATCAATTGTTTTTATGGTATGTGAACACGAATATATGAATATGTGCCCCCCCCCAATTTTTTTTACGCCTAATGCTGCTTTGACATTATCATAAAATGTGTTTAAAATGCATGAAATTGCATCATCTCACAGACCTTAAAATTGTTGCAGACTTTAAAAGCGGCCTCTGGCCAGCCAGACAATCCACTCACTTGGGGCTGGCTACGTCCTTCGTACCATGCTCTGTCAATGTGTCCTCTGACTTATAATGGTGTCTGCACTGAGAATGTATGTGTCATTTCACATTTTCACTTAACATTTCACAGGACTAATTTGTTATTTACTCTGGATTATTTGTCCATATTATGCTGACTGATAAATTAGGATACTCGTGCTTCAAAAATCTTCACTTTCTTCCATATCCATTGATGATTGTTTCTTTTCCCTTTACAGGTGAACACATGTAATTAGATGAATAAGAATGAACAAGTGCAGTGTTTCAATTCATAACCCTCATCCATTTTCAAACATTTTATTTTACACCTTGAATTTTATTTGACCACAATGGCAGAAAAATATGCACCAAATCCTAAAGACAGTTTAGCAGAAAGTAAAGTGCTAGCTCAGAATGCAATGGAAGTTTCAAACCCTTTAGTCGAGGCAAGAAAAAGTTGTATCAATCCCTCACAGAACGCAAAGAGAAACAAATCGAATAGCAGTTCAAGTGTTGGGAAAAAACCTAAGTTATCAACTGAAGCCCCAGTCCAATCTGTGAAACGGAAAACCAAAACACAACAAGATATCTCGCCGAAGAAACCAAACATTGGGACTAACGAACCTTCTAAAACTCAAAGCTTACCTACCAAAAAGGCTTCAACTTCAATGCAGTCTAAAGATTTAAGTATGAATCAAGGGAACTTAAGACCAAACATTCGCAAACAAACCAAGAGGACCAGACCTCTTTCAACAGAGATTTCACTCTCGTCTACCTCGCCAGCAGTTTTACGGAACCAGGCAGGAAAAATGGCAAAAGTGAAAGGTAGCAGCTTGCGGCATAGTTGGCACGGCATGCCCTCAGGTTTAAGGTCTACTCACGGGAGTGTTGACCCTAGACGCACTCCACAAAGACAGCAAAAAGCAAAGTTTGTGCGGAAAGGTAAATCGGTCAGAGTTTGTTTTGAACTGGGTTTTTGATGAAATTGTTCAACCAATGGACCTATTCCCTAATGAACAAAATTTTGATCTAGACAAGTCTAGACAAAAATTTCATCACAGCTTGAAAGAGCATCACAAAATTAGTAATATTCCGAAGTTTCGTTTCGAAATGTTGTAAAATGTGGATAATATAGCACTGTGAAGTTTGCCGTTTTTCAGTCATTTTGTATTACGCACGGGAAATTGGGACCGCTTTCTGAAAAGTTTTCTGATGGGAAATTTGTACTCACATCTTTGAAATGTATTTTTTAAATCACCTAGGTCTGATCTATATATTTTTTCACATTAAGGCGTTGCCAAAACCTTACGTGATTATGAAGACGAAGATTTTCATTCTGAGGTAGTTAAATTTTTTGCTAAATTATCATGATATTTGGGAGAACTATGTTTTAGAATTTCAATTTTAGAATTTCAATTTTCTAAGTCCATGTGAGATAATTGAGATTTCTATCAACATTCTTTGTTAAAAGTTTTTCTGAGATGAGGTTACGTAACCAACTATAGCTACAAACTGATCCTGGTCATTCGTGAATGTTTTTCCAAATTGCACTTGAAACGTCAAACCATACTATTACGTATTCTTCTTGATTGGACAGACAGATTTTAACAAGCCCCTATTGTTCTTGCATAATTTAGTGCATAAACCCTTTTATTTAATCAGACTGAGTATATCATAATTATTTTATTACAAAACGTAGTAAATTCTATCAACACTGATTAAATCGAATATTTTGCATAACTTTGTGCAATTATCAGCCACTAGATTATATCCTGTGGTCGTGCTTTTCAACACGTTTTGACAATGGGTCTAATAGATGTCGTCACATCTGCTTCGCCCTTGGTGGTGGCAAATAAGTACATGTAGTTTTATTTTCTCGTTTTTCAAGTCCGTAAATCGTTACGTAAACATTAAGTTCATTTTTCTCACCAATGCATGGTCATTCAGACATTCATGTTTTTAAGATTATTGAAGATTCAGAATACCATCGTTTTTATGAAGACGAATCGCACCAGCTATACGTACCATTTCCGTGTTGTATAAGATATACAACCACTCGCCTTTGGCCCGTGTTTATATATCTTATACAACATGGTCGCTCATGTTGTATATTTAGCTATACATATGACAACTATAGCCTCAATTATTGGCAAACACAGACCAGATTAAGAATATGATGGATTACCAATATGTATTTTTCAAAGCTAGCTTCTTCGGATATTTCCAAATCTTGTGTATGTTAATTCGTTCAGAGGTTGTTAAAGAAAAAAACGCTTGTATAAGTTTTATGCAATCACATTCGATGAGTAACAACCTAATTAAGGCGAAGGTATTGAAGCGTTATGTAAAAACTGTAATGTGATATGATGAAATTTCATATATGACTACTATTATAATTGCATTTTCTGTACCACGAGCTAAAATATGTCACCTTGTGTATAAAACGTAAAATATACGAGCCGATATGCCTTTTCATGGAACGTAGCAACAGGGTTGTTTCACAATGATTAGGCCGGGAAGTTTGGTTTCATAAATTGAAGTTTATTGAAGGTAAATAAAACAGGATTCCTTTATGTTGTGTTTATTGCTTGAGAACTTACAAGAATTGGGCTGGTTATCAAGGCTAAAATGTACTTGTAATTTTAGGGAGCTATTGCTCTGTTATAATTGGGGTTTTTTGTGCAATTTGTTGTCGTCTAAGCGCTGGTCACTTGCTGTTAGTTGTAGACTATGACACTATGTTATGTATCTTAGTATGTATGCATGCCGCTTAGCCTTGGGCTGTATATGTTTTTATACGTAAAAAGCGCAAACTTTTACACAGATTAAATCTTCAATCAAACCATCGGACATCCTGAAGTGAGATCGGAAATATCAAAATGTAATTAGTGTACATTTGTTTGCCAGTCACGCAAGATTAAAGAAACGCGTTTTATTTATTGCTATTTAATAGTTATGTATACATATCAGTTTACTGATAATATAAATTGTCGCCCAAACAATGCCGTTCTCAAAAATAATCCTTTCTGGTTTTACTGCGGTTTTCGTCTAGTCCCAGATTGACTCGAGGTTGGTTGCTCAGATATACACGTAAAAACGCACAAGTTGTAACAAACCTGTAGCAGACTTGTAGCAGTGCTGTTCCAACAACTTGTCAACAGGATGTGTTCGCACTGCTTGTTCCCAGCTTGTTGACAAGTTGTCAACGGCTTGTTGACAACTTGCCACAAGGTTGTTGAGCTCAACAGACTTGTTACAAGTTGTTCCAACAACTTGTTATCATCCTGCAATTCACCAATTTGTTAACAAGTTGTGGGTGACAATCTTATAGCAACTTGATAAAATAACAGCATTGTTACACGTTGTTGACAAGCTTGCTAACGAACACATCTTGTAGTGACAAGTTGTGAGATTTTTACGTCTCTACTTGTCCTTTATCCTTCTTTGTCCGGTTGTCACTTGTTATATAATATCACACCTACTATCACATTCCAAGAACACTCTGGTTCACCTAAAATAACACTATTTCGGTTAACGTAATATTTGTGGTTAAATCAGTTCGCTGGTTTTTAACCTTTTTCTACTATAGTCTGGTTATATTTGACCAGGACATCCTGGTTATTTTACCTAGGACGTCCTGGTCAAGTTAACCAGACTATCCTAGGTGGATTAATAACCATGGCCTCTGGTTATATATCCACCTTACCTAGTCTGGTTATTTTACCTAGGACGTCCTGGTCAAGTTAACCAGACTATGCCAGGTGGATTAATAACCAGGGCCCCTGGTTATATATCCACCTTACCTAGTCTGGTTATTTTACCAAGGAAGTTTTACTATGGTAGGAAGTGATACGATTACATTAACCAGACTATGGTAGGAAGTGATATATATAAAATAACTAGGAAATTTAACCAGGAAATTTTAACCAGAGTGTTCTTGGGGTGCATATATACATTCCTGGCCTAACCTCGTCCCCCGTCCCCATTGATCTCCATAAAATTTCTGACAGGCTCTCCTTCATCTCCTCTTAATATGTGTCCATTCCATCTCTGCCTTGCTCAATCTCTTACCTTCTCTGCCGACGAGGGCCTTCGCTCGAAACATCGAAATTCTGCTTATATTTTTCAGGTAATAGTGTATCCTTTGCACCACAGCTTTCTGTTTTCGTATCTACATACACTGGTACCGACCATTCGCGATTCTACCACTCCACCATTCTTCTGAAACTACTGCAACTTCGTGTGAAACATTGTACACTTCACCCTAGCTTACTTACACAGGACCACATGAACACAACTCTTAAATTTATGCATCAACTGTAAATGAATGTAAATCTATATGCTGTACTTCATTAATTAATGAAGATGTTTTGCAGCAAATTGTTGAATAACAATCACAGCATGAAAATGCCAACTTGTAAATTTCTCTTATGTCACGCGCTAGGCATTTTATAGGATTATATTTCGTATCATGGATATGGTTTAACAGACAATACTGAGACTAATATAACATTTGTTTCAATTTACCGTACAGGATGAAACTGAAATTTTGGATTTGTTTCCCAACGAAACACGAATACTGTTTGATGGATTGACTCTGTGGTTAGAAATGGCCGAGAAGCGTTTGGATTTGATGGAACGTGATTTCGACGAAGGCAGTACATCAGACGATGAACGGTTAGTTCAACGAACGAAGGTAAGAAAATATAAAGGTACAGTAAATATATATGGTACACATTCTTTGCAATCAAACAGAGATTATAGTTATAGGATATAAAAGATCATGGACAAGGTCTGGCTAGAATTTTATCCGAAACCTAAGTCGGTTGTACTTAGACCGGACAGCGCTATCCACCGATTTCAACCGTTCTCAAATTAAACGTTGAATAATAATAATAATAATAATAATGCAATTTATTTTTATTGGGTGCAGAAGTAATTACAAAGTAATTTTCGTCCAGGCCCAACATTTTGAAACTATTTATATATACTGTACATGGACATCACACACAATAATATATATCTCGGACTATAGTCTTGACATCATAAAGAACTACCTATTCTATTGAATAGTATAAACATACAAGATTAAAGTTTTAGTAACTGTAAATTAAAAGGTTTTATATTTACTATATGAGGTCCATATATGTAGTTTCACAGTTTTTTAGGCATTTTTACGAAGGTTGAAAAAATCACTACTAGCGCAATCCCGCCTCAATTCCTCGTTCGAGCGAAAGCCCTTTCTATTCCTGTACGAGAGTGTCACTAGGTGCACTTTTCAAGTACTTTTTCATGCTTGGGCAATGTACGTTGACAGTCGTCATTCTATTCCGTAAAGAAATCTCTAAAACCCACATCCTTTTCTGTAAAATGCTGGCATTAATTGGAGAAAATTGCGTGGCAGTTTAGCATTTGTTCTTTATCAAGCCGTTATGATCCCATCGTACATGCAGTGTTATACAGTAAGCTACAATCATTGGTAAGTTCGAGGCGCTAACAGGAGAAGGTTTATTACTTTTCTTATTTATTAAATTATCACAGATATCACGATATATGCACTTGTCGAATTATGAGCAACAATAACATACCAAAGCCAAACTCAAAGTGTTAAATCTTGAATTATATACGTGTGAATTTTTTATCCATTGTGGTCAGCCATAAGCCACAAGGTTGATTTCTAATAAAGATCTGAATATCGCTAGTTCCCAGGTTCTGCCCTGAATTCACGAAGCGAAACCAAACGTAACATTGGTACATTGTTACATTTTTACATTGTTACAAGATTAAATGAAACAATAGCAATTTCTGCCATTTTGATATTTTTTGTATAATTTGAGGAATTCTGGAGTCAAATTAAACTTACTCAAGCCATGACGCACTAATTTCCTAAAAAGAAGCCCGAGTTATAGTGGGGCACGATCGCGATTGTGGAATAGTTTACCGCAAGATAGAAGCATGATTTCACTACTTTGCCAATTTAAGAAGGCTACAAATGACTATTGTAATAATTTTAGCGTTATACATAGTAACGCAGATTCCCACACGGCAATCTTGTAAACCAGTTAATGTTTTTCTTTTTGTAAAATAGCTTATTCTGAAGGTTTTACCGTGGCTAAATAAAATTTTATTTCATTGTATTGTATTGTATTGCAAAGATGGAAGGCACTTGCACAACTAACGATTCAGGAATGCAAAACTATAGTGAATATGCATGAGGTCCATAAAGGGTTTAATAGCGATTAGATTAATCCATGTGTCTGTCAAATTTCGTTATGAATTTCGGCGAAAGTCTTTTACGTATAAGACATTTTATTATGTGAGCTGTTTACGAAAGTCTAGTTCACTAAAAGCTGGATTTCTGCTGTGATGTGGAGCAAAAAATACTGCAGTATAAGACTGGATAAGTGTTTAAGTCGTCGAGAAAGTGTTGTTCTTGAATAACTTAAGAAATGGAAGGCAAAGAAGCAGTTTTGTCGGAGTGGGTATGTGTTAGGATTATTGGATTATAATCTGGACAGTATTATCCTTGAAACTTTTGTACAATTGTGTGAAAAGTACAAAATATTGTACTTCAGAAACATTCGTCTTAAATCCGACAAGTTATTAATCATTCTATATATACTGAATTTTGCAATATTTGTAAACACGAGAGGGTGTAAATCAGTGCTGTGGCAGATATATTGTTAATGCTGACGATGGAGTTAATTAATATTGTCTTTGATATATAGCGAGCATATTTTGTTTAAGTTATGAGCTGTGTGAGTTACGACAGCTGTGTCAATACCACAGAAATGCTAAAGTTTGAATGCTTTAAGAGTTTGTGCAGTCTTCACATTGTTGAAGTTTGTGTAGCTTTTTGACGAACGAAAATGTTTAATTAATTTTAAAATCCGCAAAACAGGGCAAACTCGGAAACATTGTTGTCCGAAAATTTCGTTGTTTTCCCAAGTGTTTGTCTGTCTGTCTTCCCTACTTGCGAAAACAAAATAATCTTCTATGCGGAAAGTAAATTTGATTCACAACAAGTTCAGAAAACATTTTTCGTTCTCAAATGTAGTGTTTGTTACAATACACCGTTTCCTAGTTTGCCCACATCAATGGCTTGCCCACGTAACAATTTATTTGCAATTAACACGTAATAAACGTAATGGCAATGAATTGTTAATTAATCTATTTTTATGAAAATACGATTGTATGTCTGCTTGAAAACGTATATTCAGTTTCAGTTTCAATTCTTCCTGTAGTACACAAGTAAAAATGCATAGGTCTGCAAACAAGTTGTTATAAATCTGTTCACAAGCTGTCGACAAGTTGTGTTCGCACTGCTTGTTCCCAGTTGTTGTAAAATGTTTCGAACAAGCTGTTAACAACTTGTAACAAGCTTGATGGCAATATCAGACTTGTTACAAGGTTGTTCTATAACAAGTCTGATACGAAAAACTAGTTTCATATTAATCTGACACTGCAATCGAGCAACGAAAAACTCGTTGAACTCGCATCTTCGGGTATCTAGACCACCGCTCTACCTATTGAGCTATCGAGTCAACAGGGATCGGTAGCGAGTCTTATCCAATTTAAACGTACGAAATATTTTCGTGACGACTTAACGCTTGTCTTAGAGGACGCGCAGTGTTTCAATTCTATTTCAGAACCATCCTCAGAGATACGAAGAACTATAGTTTCATATTAATCTGACACTGCAATCGAGCAACGAAAAATTCGTTGATAAAGTCTGATACAGTCATGATATATCAGGAATGTTACAAGGTTGACGACACAAGGTTGTAACAATATTGTTATATCATGACTGTATCGGACTTGTTGGAACAACCTTGCAACAAGTCTGATAATATCAACAAGGTTGTTACAAGTTGTTAACAGCTTGACTTGTTCCAAACTTGTTGAGCTTAAATTTTCCTTATAGACAAAATCAACATATAAATATTTGTTCGTCTCTTTAGAAAACCTTCCAAGTATTCAAAGAGGAAACTCGTCTACAGGAATTTAAACTGACAATGATACGGCAAACGTGCGACACTGCCATCGGCATTCCTGGCGAAGACTACCGTATTGCTATTCGCAAATGGGAAGTGATCAAACGGAAAGTGACTATTCATGAACAGAGGTTGACACTAATGTCTCAGGGAGGCGGGAATCTTTCAAGACTCTATTATTGGTTGAATGAAGCCGAAGCGTTGTTGGAAAGTTATGAAGATGTGCAAGAAAATGACGGGATAACTTCTTTGAAGTGTAGAATGGAACGCCATAAGGCATGTTTTGGAAGAAATTTATTTTTCACATAGCATTACACAGTCGCAAATTTCTAATGCTACTATCGTTAACTTTAGGATTTTTTTCAAATCCTGGACGAAAAACGTCACGTGGTTCAAGAACTACGCCAGCATGGTACGGATGGTAATACGAACGTTGGCGAGGGAGTGATTTGGGATGTCACGCAGAGGTTTCAAACGGTTGAGAAAAGTTCTCAGACGGCTGCAGACAAGTTGAGCATGGAATATTATAGAAACAAGGTTGGACAGTGTCTTGAGTTGTGCCAAGAGCAACTTTTGGACGATAATCTCAAGTTTACTTCACAATTGCAAGCTGAGGATGCGTTCAACCAGCATTTGGTAAGATGAGTTAGGGCAAAGGGAGTAAAGGACAAATCGTGTATCGTTAAAATCACTAGGAAGGAGGAGGGAATAACATCGATTTGGTGTAATGGGGGGGGGGGATCCGTGCCTTACCTCAGAGCCTCGGCAAAGGACACATACTGTACCCTAACGTTAAAGCCAAAGGGAGGATGTACACTTAAACTTTAGAGCCAAGGGGGAAGGCATACACTAACCTTAGGCTGAGGGTAGGGGGGACATAGTTTAACTTTATGCAATAAGTAGATGGACATGCTAAATTTATAGCCAACTTTTGAGGTATGGGAAGGGTTGCATGCCCAAATCTTAAGGCCAAGGGGAAGAGGAATGCCATAACTTAAATAACATGCAAGTAACAACCTAGTGAAGGCCACAGGAAAGTGCTGTACCGTAATCAAGGCCATACTCTAACTTTAGATCAACGGATAGAACAACTCTAACTTTAAAGCTATTGAGAAGCTTTTCCTAGGCCACAAAGAAGCGTTATCTAATGAAGCTATACCCTATCTTTAGACCAGTGGGTAGGGGGCATGCCTTAACTTTACCGCTATAGGCAAGGGAGAGCACACTAACTTTAGAAAGATAGGAAGGGGGGGGGGGATTGCCTTAACCTATCCGATGCCTGTTTAAGTGTACCATGCAGAGTTAAGTTTTGGATTCCAGTAAATTTGGTCACCACTAAATACGTATATATTCCTTGTTATTATATACTCCGTGTATAGAAATTCTTTCACGACAAGAAGTACATCAAGAAATTAAGCGCTTACTGCAAGAAACTAAAAGATGCCGTTGAGAAATGTCGCGCCGCAATGTCTGAAGAAGAACAAAACAATATCAACCAGTATTTGCAGAATGTCTCCAAGCAATTTGAGGAGATTCTTCAACGTATGCAAGCAGATGAGCAAAAACTGGAACACATTCATCGTTGTTGGAGCGAGTACAATCATGCGGTAGAGTTATCGCAGCCATGGCTGGTCGAAGCTGAAAGACTCTTGAAACAAGGCGAAATTGAACGATGCAAGGTAACGGTATTTTTAACGTAATTTTTCAAGTCTGACTATGAAGACTGGACTAGATTTCAAGTCCAAGGACTGGATCAATATCCATCACCAATTATTAATGAGTTTGAGATAAGAGATTGCCCTTACTGGACCTCTAGGGAGGACAGTATAAGTATACAACTGATAGAGCTTACTCGTATCAATACATTTCATTTGGTTTAGATTTCCTCCTGTAATATTAACACTGGACCAATTAGGATGGCTTGTACTAGATCTCTGAGAAGAACAGTTTAGAACTGATAGAGCAATTCAATATAAATAAATTAAATTAGTTTAGTTTAGTTTAGTTTAGAGATCCTCGTGTAATAACACTGGACCAATTGGGGATGACTCGTACTGGGTCTCTGGGAAGAACAGTTTAGAACTGATAGAGCAATTCAATATAAATAAATTAAATTAGTTTAGTTTAGTTTAGAGATCCTCGTGTAATAACATTGGGCCAATTAGGGATGACTCGTACTGGGTCTCTGCATGGGAAGAACAGTTTAGAACTTATAGAGCAATCCAGTATAAATGAAGTTAGTTATTAGTTATTAGTTTGGAATGGTAAATTATCCTTTCATAAACTTATTTTTATTTTCAGGACTATTTTATGGACCTAGAAGACGCCCAACACGATGTAACCAAGGCAACGGACGCAATAAAGTTCCTCAAACGCCATTCCTGTGGCACAGTGATTGTAACCCTGGAACAACAAGTTGCGATGTTGGATCGACGGTTGCGCAGGGTCACTAGACGTTACACAAGGCTTGTGAAGTCTAAGCACAGGGACCCTAAACTGGAGAAGTATGAATGTTGTGTAGATGAAATGATGGATTGGTTGGACCAATCAGAATTAGCCGTGAATGATGAGGTTGACATTGAGAGACTGGAACGACTTCAGCAGCAAGTTTGTACATGCGAGGTAGGTTGCCCTACACACGTAAAAATCTCACAACTTGTCAACAAGATGTGTTCGCAACAGGCTTGTAGCAATCTTGTCAACAAGTTGTAATAACGCTGATATTTTATAAAGTTGCTACAAGGTTGTGCTTACAACTTGTTGACAAATTGTTGAATTGCAGGACACAACTTGTAAAAACTTGATGAGTATTGCATATGGAAATTGTCGAGTGAAAATTTATATACATTTATTAGACTTCTCCAGGAACAGAAGCGAAAAATGCAAATTTGGGTCCCTGGCCGGAATTGAACCTGCGGCTCTGCAAGTTTTATTCAATCCGTCTAATTTTCAGAATGAGGTAGTAAACATAAAAAGTGTCTGAAAATGTCTGTAAAAATGTCGATCCCAAAATTTTTCTTTGGACTTGGTTTCCAGATTCCGATACTTTTCCCACCTCTGCTGTAGTCAACAAGGCTCTCGTCAACACACCATTTCCCTTCTAGGCCCTGCTGGATGAGCTCAACAACCATGTTGACGGCGTTGAAACCATTAACGAAGTTGGCAAGACACTCATGCACGATAAGAACATCGCGAGCTCCATCAAAGGAACCATTTTAAACGTCAACCGTCGTTTCGACAAACTTAAAACAACTCTACCTCAAAAACACAAAAAGTTAAAACAACTACAACGCCTTGTTCACAATGTTACGTCTGGTTTGGATGAGACGGGCACTTGGGCCGAACAAACGGCTAAACTTTTGGAGAAAAATCTTTTATTTGAGAATTTTGAGGAGGTTAAAAATTTGCATGTGCAATATGAAACACAAATGGTTGATTATAAGAAACACGCGGATAAAATGAAAGCGAAGAATAATACGTGTTCGCAGATTGAGAATATTCTTGGGGAGGAAGGACTACAGAGTTATAAGGAAGAGATAGGGAGGATTAATGAAAGATGGAAAGTTGTCCAAGAACATGCGGAAACACAGCACGCAAAAGTTGGTCATGTGTATGTCACGTGGGAAAGATTCGAGAACGCGCTGGTGAGGTTGAGAGGCATTTCACAGTCAAGTAATGAGGTATGGTTGACTTGTACTTGCCTTATAGTGGCTCAATTTCCTTTTTCACAACTACAATTTAAATACAGCGATTTCTTAATCTTAAACCACATGCGTAAAAATCTCGCATCTTGTAGCAAGTCTTGCTAACAAGCCGTCAATAAGTTGTGTTCGCACTGCTTGTCGATAACCTTGTTGATATTATCAGACTTGTTGCAAGGTTGTTGCAACAAGTCCGATACAGTCGCGATATAACAAAATTGTTACAACCTTGTGTCATCAACCTTGTAACATTCTTGTTATATCATGATTGTACCAGACTTGTTAGGACAACCTTGTAACAAGTCTGATAATGCCATCAAGCTTGTTACATGTTGTTAACAGCTTGTTCCAAACTTGTTCTGGGAACAAGCTGTGCGAACACAACTTGTCGACAACTTGTGAACAGATTTGTAACAGCTTGTTTGCAGACCTGTAACAATTTGTGCACAAGTTGTAACGAACCTGCAGCGGACTTGTAGCAATCCTGTTCCAACAACTTGTCAACAGGATGCGTTCGCACTGCTTGTTCCCAGCTTGTTGTCAACGGCGTGTTGAGAACTTCAATCTTGGCCATAAAGCGTAGGACGATGATGCATTTTTGGGCATTTTCAAGCCTCCCCCCTTTCCCCCCATTCAATGTTGCCGTTTCGTCTACTTTATGGTCGGACATATTGTACAGATAAAATTCTACATGTACTTGAATTGCGGGAAACCAACATTGAATGGGGGGAGCGGGGGGAGGTGCAATATGATTTTAAAACCCACGTATATTAAAAAGTTGCGAATTTGTTTGGTCGTTCTACGAACTTTTGGCCAAGATTGTTGCTACAAGGTTGTTGAGCTCAACAGATTTGTTACAAGCTGTTCCAAAAATTGTTATCGTCCTGCAATTCAAAAATTTGTCAAGAAGTTGTGAGTGACAACCTTGCAGCTACTTGATAAAGTAACAGCATTGTTACAACTTGTTGGCAAGCTTGCTACAAGCCTGTTGCGAACACATCTTGTTGACAAGTTGTGAGATTTTTACGTGTATAACTCTCAACTTGCTGCAAAGTTGAAAACACATCAGACCGGTTACAAGTCGTTCCATGCAGCTCAACAACTTGTAAACAAGTTTATATATTCTTTTCTCTAGGATGAAAGTTGTCTCACGGAAGGGGAAAGTCTTTGCAAAGAAATATTACAATCTAAGGAAGAGCTTTGCTCAATTGTTGGGAGCGAATTTGGCGCGAAAAGCGTGGAGGGTAACGCGGTTTGCGCTATAGAGGAGTGGAAACGAGTCAGTGTCAGTCAGAAAGTACAGAAACTTGACAAAGAAACGGAAAATATCCGAGACCATGTTCTCAAGGCGTTTAAGACGGCATGCTTTGATTTTGTATCCCAGCTGGGGAGTCTAGATGAAAATGTTGATCTGGACGGGATATATGAGGTATTGTGCATATTTATTGTGGGATTCACAGATGGCGGTCAAATAGCAGTTAGCCACTATTCTTCCCGTGGTCCTGCACGCGGGCTAAATATCAGTTTTCACAGCAATCAAATACTTTTGTTTCATTATATGTAGTGGTCTTGCATTTGGAGGCAAATAGATAAAAAAAACTAGAGATATAGAGTCTTCAGTCTTGGAAACAATAAAAGATGCTTACTCCCCTCCCCCTTACCTTATTGAAATTCATCAGTTGTTTAAGACCAATTTTTCATTTTTCAAGCTGTGGTGAAATGTTTGTCTAGACAAGTCTAGATCAAAATTTTGTTCATTAGGGAATAGGTCCATTCGTGAATGGCAACTCTCATCAATTCTCGTTCTCCTGTTACTCTATTTTCTAGAGGACGTTAGCCACTGTTTGTTGTCAAGCAAGAATTGATGAATTCGACACTCATATGAACGAAGAAAACGAAAATGAAATAAAAGACGAAGTGAAAGAGTACTATGAGCAGACGAGAACAAAATGGCAAACTGTCAAGGAACAACTGCTCGGAGAAAAAGCAAATTACGCAAAATTGAGAGAGGATCTCGTGGGGTATATTGAGAAAGAGAGTGATCTTAATGGGTGGATAGGGAAAGCAGAGGACGTTTGTGAACATATCAAGGATATTGAGCAGGATGGGAATACTGAAGAAGTATTTGAGGCGTTTGAGGTTGGTATAGTGGTTTGTGCATGCACCATTCACGTGGAGTTCAATTCCTGCAGTTGTCTGATTGTATTTTTACCTCAGTTACATATGAGGTTCCAATTTTATTCCAAATTTTCACCTCGTAACCCCTTTCTTTCTGCAAAAATACTGGAGCAATGAAAGATGGCCTTTACTCGACCTCTATGGAGAGCAGTTCAGAACTGACAGACCTCTACAGTATAAAAAAATACTGTAGCTTAGATGTTATTCAGTAGTAACACTGGACTAATTTGGGATGATCTTTTATTGCACCCATAGGGAGGATAGTATAAAACTGATAGAGCTATCGAGCATAAATAAATAATTTGTTCAAGATATTTTTTGTTTCCCTTTTAGACTGTATCTCAAGAATTGGAAAATAAAACAACAATACTTGAAGAGATTGCATGTCACAAATCCGAAATCTTGGCAATTGTAGAAATTCCGTTCCTAACAGATCGATACCAAGCTTTGACAGAACGAACATTAAGCACAAAAAACAAGTTTGAAGCAACCAAGAAACGGCTGCCGGTGCTAAAACAATATTTCATCCATCGAGACACAAGCAAAGGACTTGTTGAATGGCTGACTGAAATGAACGCCTTGTTTCAAGAACCCTTCAATGTAGACAGCCTTGAAAATCTTGAACGTGAAATAGAAGCCCATAGTGCAACGAAAGTAGCTTTACAGGACCGTTCAAAAGCTTTAGAAGGGACTGTAGCAAATGCTAAAGCTTTAGAAGAAGCAGGGACACTTTCTGAAACAGATATGAAAGGTATACGTACGTACTTACAGAATTTATTTAAACACGGTAGAATTATCAGTAAATATGTTAATTTTTCTGTGTTGGTGTAATGTACTCAGGTGAATATGATGCTTGTGATGTTACTCTGAGTGTGTATCCACACCGGGCAAGCTTGAAAAATGTGCCTGGCCACGGTGGGAATCGAACCTACGACCTTTGGAACACCAGCCCAATGCTCTGCCAACTGAGCTACGCGGTCAGGTTGGTTCGAGTATGTGATATTTTGGAACTGAGTCAGTTGGCAGAGCACAGGGCCGGTGTTCCAAAGGTCGTAGGTTCGATTCCCACCGTGGCCAGGCACATTTTTCAAGCTTACCCGGTGTGGATACACAGTCAGAGTAACATCACAAGCATCAGTAAATATGTTGTACAATAAGATTTGTCATGACACTAATAATTTATGAGAAATATAGAAAATCATGACCATGAAGGAGCTTATATCTCTGATACAAAATCATGCTGATTTACATAAAGTTTAAGTGAATTTTTCTCACCAAATATCCTTCGTATCTTGCCTTGGACTCGTGTTTGTATATCTTATACAACACGGCTGTTCGTGCTGCGCGTATTATCAGCAATAGCCTTTGTTTTTGTAGGTAGCGTCATGGAAGATATGTGGAACAGCGTTCAAGAGTCGCTCTCAAAAAGGACACAAGAGCTTGAAGAATGTGTTTGTTTGTGGACTTCGTATGAAGAAAACATGCTTCATGTTATGAGCTGTTTAACGAAGGGAGAAATGCTACTGGCTGAAGTGAAGTCGAGTCAAGGAAATACGAAAGATGTTTTAGAGAATTTACTTGAGCAGGTTGAGGTTAGCATGAAGTAGCAACTTTTTCATTATAGTTTTGCTTTAGTTGCAAATACGAAGAGCACTTCCAGTTTGACTCTACCAAACACCACTGGTTCATTCCAACCATGCTATAGGTTTCCTTCTATAGCAAGAATAAACCAGTACCAGGTGGCTTTTATTGGACGTCTGGGAGGAGCATTTTAGATTTGATGGAGTTCTTCAATATAAATAAAGTTTGTTTAATGTAGGTTTTCTCCTGTAGTAATACTGGACAATGAATGATAGCCCTTTCTGGATGCCTAGGAAGAACAGTTCAGGACTGATAGAGCTATCCAGTCGTCTAAATAATGTTAGTTTAGTTTCGTTTAGTATTTTTGAGGAATTTTAACAGTTTGTATAATATTAGAAATTTGTAAGATACTTGTTAACAGTTTCCTTTTATACATTTATAACTAGACAGAGAAAACCAAACTGCGAAACACAGACGAAGTGTTAAAAAACATGGCGACGACAGCGGAGAAACTTGAACTAAAAGCAAGTTCGTCTGGAGCTGCTGCTATCGAAACGAAATTAAACGACACGACACGTCTGCACAGCTTTCTCCTTGAAGAAATGGAAAATTACTCGGACTTCTTAAAAGATAAAATTGAGAAATGGGACACAATACGTACACGAATACAGGATTTGACATCATGGATGGACAGTATTGAGGAAAAACTGGAAATGTTGAAAGCAAACGAAAATCTGGATGGACACTGCTTGAGTGATATAAAGGTTTATAATATAGCATTTGTAAATTCTGAACGCTGATTGGCTAAGAGCCGTGTTGATATAACTCAATGTCAACACGGGAAATTTTCAGCCGCTCGTAAACACGGAAATTTTTTTTATCCTTCGGGCTTTTGACATTGCTATATTATAAAAAAATATAAAACATTTTTTCCGTATTGATATATAGTTATATCAACACTCGTGGAAGTTGGGAAAACTCGAAATTGTATGAAAACACTCCGCCCTTCGGGCGTCGTGTTTCCATACAATTTCTCGTTTTCCCAACTCCACTCGTGTTGATATAACTGTATATCAACACGGAAAATGTTTTATATTTGTTAAATATAAAGCGTTTTGAGATATTCGTCGAGTAAAACTTCTCAGTTTGGTGTGCAAATTCCCATTTCAGTTCTAGGTTAGGTTAGGTTAGGTTAGGTTAGGTTAGGTTAGGTTAGGTTAGGTTAGGTTAGGTTAGGTTAGGTTAGGTTAGGTTAGGTTAGGTTAGGTTAGGTTAGGTTAGGTTAGGTTAGGTTAGGTTAGG